ACTCCCTACCCTCGTTACTCTGTGCTTTCTCATACTTTGATTCTCCTATGAACATTAATCACTGTCAACAGCTCTTTTGAAGCAAATGCCTCCTGTTTCCTTCATTAGAAAGGTACCTGTCCTTTATTAAGGTTTCCCCGGGGAGACTAACAAAGATATCATTTGCTTAAAGTGGTGATCATCAACCCAAAGTCTTTGTCCTCTTTTTTTTTCAGTGACTGTTTCACAGACTGCACAGCCTGACTGGAATGAATGTATCCCATTTCTCTAAAAGTTTATGGTTGCTTGAGTCTATTGTAAACTGTTGGGAGCTATAATTACAGCCAAATGATAAAACTTATTTAATGTTTGATCTTCATTTTATGGCTCAAAAAGTTATTCTTTATTGTGATGGCGCGGTTTCACGAACACACTAAGGAATCGGCCTTGGATAATTGCTGTTTAGAAATTCTGCCTGTTTTGTTTGCTTGCTTGCTTTATTTACTTACTTACTTAATCATTCAAGGAGGTCTCACATAGCCCAGTCTGGCCTGGAGCTAGGTAGCTGGGTGAAACTTGCACTTCAGGTCCTTCTGCCTGCACTTCTTGAGTGCTAGGATTACAGATATATGCAGCCAAACCCTGTGAGTGCTGGGGATTTAACCTAGCACCTCTGCATGCTAAGCTAGCACCCTTCAAACTGAACCAGGCCCACATCCCCTTTGCTTCCCGTTTTGTTTGGAAGCATACTATATAATAATATACTATACTGGGCCTGATGCAAATTAGCATATGTAAAGCCCAATACATGTGGAACACCTCACACATCCAAACATCTCCTTTCTCACTGGCTTTCCATGAGAACCCCAAGACACCAAGATTGCTTTGCAGCAGGAACAAAAAAGGAAGCACAGAGAGATTAAATAATTTTGTTCAAGGCCATACAGTGCCCACAGGGCTTTTAACCCACATTAGCGTTTTTTTTTTTTTCCATTAAAAAAGCCTAAAGCAAATAATAGAACAATTTATTGTATAATTATTTTGCACATTAAGGAGGAGAGGATTCTCTTTTAACGAGTTTCCCATCGGAGAAACGGAGAGTGTGTGTTGCTCATCCTGTGCGGTGCACACACCGTTCTTCACTATCGTACAGGCATTTACAGGCAGTCTGAGTCTTTAAAAGTGTCTTTAGTCGACAATGGAGCAGACAAGAGATCAAGGTCAAAACTCCAAACTGGTCAACAGTCAAATATGACCTACACATACGGTACTTTTAAAGTCGAAATGGAGATTTTTCTTTTTCTGAAGCAAGCCTAATTGCTGACACTTACAAATCAGGCCTGTCATCCCGAGCCTGAAGTCCCACTGGGCACAGAGAGCTGGAGTTGAACGGTAGATATTTCTTTTAAATAGACCAGCCCCCAGCAAGCATTTGGGATTGTGACTTCAAATGACTGGTTCTAAGTGCCAGGTATACCAGATCCTAAGTGTGTTTTTTTTAAGTGTGAGCTCTCTCCTCTCTGCTTCCATGGAACACACTGTGGCCTGGGTGAAGCATCCGTGCGGCAATGTAGCTTTGACACCTGCAACAGGTCAAGTCCATCACACACTTTCACCTGGGAATTTGAAACGCCGGCATAATGAAGCAAATTAATCTTGTTTACCACTGAATTACTTTGCAGGTTCTCACTCTAAAAGATAAGACTTTCAAAATAGATTTAGAAGGAAGCTCAAGAAACATTGTATTAGAGTTTGAGGGAAAAACAACAGGGCAGGCAAGTTGTAACTTTCGGCCTTTGCCAAGACAGACATGAGAAAGGAAAGCTGTGGTTCTGAGTCACGGTTATGTCCACAAGCAGGTCCAAGAGGATAGAGGTATGGGGGAACCTACAGATGGGTAATTGTCCATAATTCATCTGACCCATAGACATTGGAGACAAAAAAGAAAGCCTGAAAGTTTTCTGACTTTGAGCCTGGGTGTAAATATAAAGTGGAGGATGGGGAAAGTAGCCATTAGAGGGAAATCACAACCTTAGTGTTATCTTTTTGTAGGAGAGAGGGCACTCAGTATGTTTTTATGGTTGCCTGCTTCCACTCACATGCGATGATGATTGTAATACAGGCTTTTAAGCTGTTGGTCCTCCTTCCCCACCCTAGCCAGGCCTCAGGTTAGCCAAATTTAAAGCCAGAGACTTCTGCTCAAAGGGACTTGGGTCCCTTTGGTGATGATGCCTTTCACAGGCTCATCTTTTACAAAGTTAAAGACATCGGAGGGTGGCCCTTTAAAACTGAATGTTTCCTCTGTGGCAGCATTCTGGAGAAGGAGACAGTGCCCTTTCACTGGAACCTATCAGCCCCCATTCTCCCTGCACATGCAGAGTCCTAGAGGTGATAAGATTCATCTGGACACATTTCTAACATTATAAGAAGGACAAATGGTCTCCAGCCAGCCTGATGTCACGGGACCCAATAGTGAGCCTCCAAATAGTTTGGTAAGTGTAGTTGTTTAATGCTGCGATGTCTCATGATAGTAAGAAAAAAAAAAATGTAAAATAAAAGGCAACCACTAACCCAGAGAAGCACATGTTCAAAAGACACAAAAATAAAGATATTTTTAGTAAAGCAGGATTTTTATGTTAAGACTTTGTCTTAATTAAAATAGCTGGATTTTTTTTTTTTTTCTAGAATGGGAAAGATAAACAGGAAGCTAAAAAGCCTAAGAGGTTCAAAAAAGAGAAGTATCACAATTGTCCCTCTTTAGGATTATGAAAGGCCTCTTGTGGGGTGGGGGTCGGAGAGAGGATATGCCTTTAATCCCAGCACTCCAGAGACAGGGGTAGAAGGACCTCTGTAGCCAGCCTGGTCTAAATAGTGAGTTACAAAGCAGGCAGAACTACATTGAAAAACCTGTCTCAATAAAATAATAACATCAACATACAAAGAGGCAGAGGTATGGGGCTTTATTGAGGTCTCAGGCCCTTGCAGATTTTATATAAACTACCGTGTTTGCAGAAAGTAAAAACAAGGGCTTCCTGGCAGGTGACAGGTAGGTTCCAAATATAATTAGACTCTCTTTTCTGGTTAAACATACAAGGGTTCTTTCTAAGCATGGATATGGGAAAGTTATATTTTTTTAATCTCATCAGTATTTTTTTTTTAACAAGGTCAGCTTCTGTAATAATCAACAGGACATGAGTCAGCTAAGATCTGCAAGTGAACTCTACAATTTTCCCTTTGTGCAACAGTACAGTTAAAACTGGTAAATCAGGAGGAACCATTGTGCCAGGAAGAACTTGTTGGAATGAAACACCTCCCATAGAAGTCCTCCAAACCCAGATTGTATGTGGCTAATACATGAGAAAGAGGACCTGTTAAAGAAACAGACTTTAGATTACAAGTCCCAGAATATAACTATCTTGCTGTGGTCTCTACAATAAAAAATAGTTACTGGCCTATTTAGTGCCTTATTTAAAATGCATTATACTCAAAGAGGTATTCTGTTAGCTTGTCATTATATTTTTTTTTGTCTGAATGTCATTTGAACTTTAGCATATTGTAATTTTATATATTTATTAGTCCAAGGCTTTAAAATCAAGACCTAGCTTTGTACTAAAGGAGAGTAGAAAGCCCACACACACAGACAAAAAAGTAGAATTAACTTTCACAGGAAAAATGCAGCTGATAAAAGCCCAAAGTAAGTTAATAAAATGTAACTAATAATAAAAAAAAAAAAAAAAAAGCCCAAAGTAAGAAAGAGTGTTAACTGCTATGTGTGCTGTTTGCATGCAAAATTATCCCTAGCTGCTATGGATACACATTTGGTTTGGAGTAAGAAAGGGCTAACCTAAAGGAAGCTCTCTAACTGATTTTCAGTGGGAGAACCGACCAAAGAGAAATACTGAGGTCAGCTCAGTGGCCCAGTGGTTTTATACTCAGTTCTTTGGGAAACGAGAGAAAGGACAATGAGGTCTCTGAAAGTACTGTGAGCTGAAATTTCCAGAAAATTAAAAAAAAAAAAAAAAGCCACCGTATACCTGCCAAAGTCTCAAAAGAAGTTGCCTGATTGATTACAACTACCTGGCTGTGTAGGACAGCGTAGGTACTGTAGGTCCCAAGCCAAATTCTCTCGGGCCATCCCATTCACTACCCACTTGTGAGCCTGCTCCAACGTCCTCCCTTGGAACCATCAGGTAAATCCTTTTGGGATGTACAGACCACTTAGCTTCCACCCCTTAAAGATTAAAAAACGTCATCTTCGGGTAAGAGCTGAAACAGCAGAGATTTTCCCCACTTTGGTGGAGCCCCACGTCCCCACCAGACGTATTTTAAAGATGATTCAGTTTGTGATTTTCATTTGTTCTGCAACTAAAAAATGTCTTCCTAAATTTGTTACCGAGTTGGAACATGATATTAGAGGTGGGAGTGGGGGGGGGGGCATCTGCATGTGTGCCCCTCCCCCCCAAGGCCACATATTTGGTTTCAGAAGACTATTTTTTTTTTCTGAGTTGAGAACTGTGGGTTTGTGTGAAAGTGACCAACTGAAAAGTGAACAGCTTATGCTTCAAATCACAGGGGCAATGATGGAGGACTCTACGGTCTCATATTTTAAAATGGGCCAGGAGTGGTCTTGAACCCACGTGGCTTACGCTATACCAATGTTTAGCTGTTTTCTCTTTCGCCTCAAGCGGCCTTTTCTTTTCTTTAGCGAAGGGTATTATTTTACGCAAAACCCCGCCACGTTTTGGAAAATGTTCACTTCCCCTCTAAGCATTTTGTGGGAGGGTCCCTGACCGTGACAGACAGGCAATACATCTCCACAGGGTGCTACCTGCTAGGGCACAGCAGCAGAGGGGCAGGGCCAGTGACGGGAAGGGCGTGGCCAATACCTGGCCGGGGCGAGGACCGTGACGACATCTTAGGATAACCAATGATAGAAGAGGGGGCGGGGACATGGGCGGGGCCTACGCCCCGCAGGAGCGGGCGGCTCGTGCTGGGGGCGGGACTGAAGGTCGCGGGCAGATGACGCGCAGGCGGAGCCGCTACTTCCTGGATCCGCCGGCCGGGGCCGCTGCCGCACCCTGCGCCGGAGCCGGGAGCCGCGGCCGCCGCCATGTCCCACCAGACCGGCATCCAAGGTAACGGCGCCACGGGGCAGGGGCTCCGGGGAGGCGGCGGGCCGGATCGCTGGAGGCGCGGGCGGCGTGGGAGCGGCGGCCCTGGCTGCGGCGGCCCCGACTGCGTCCCTCGGGGCCGTACCCGGCGGCCGCCACGTACCAGGCCAGTGGCTGCCGGAGAGCCCAGACGGGAGGAGCGAGCGGTACGGGGCCGACCCGCCGCATCCCGGCCCCGGGGCCGGGGCACCCGAAGCTGGCCGAGCGACTGTCCTCAGCACCCGCCAGGGGAGATTGCCCCAGCACTCCGATCATTCGAAAACAAACCCCAGAGCTGTAGGATGCCTCCCGAACTCCCCGGATTTTTCTCTCAAGAGTGGGAGCGTGCTTTCCTTTCGGAAAAAAAAAACCGAGTAGGAAGTGTTTTTCCATCTTTGGATGCTCCCCAGGCAGCTGAATAGTCTGCTCTGTGTGGCTACACCTAATCTCCCCCGAAGAGACACTTGAGTGTGCGGTTTACTTGTGTATCTCACCCTGCAGTATTTCCTGGTTGGAAAATAGGCAGCTTGGAAGTACTCGCCTCCTCAGAACCAAATGATACATCCCGGGGTTATTTAACGAGTTCTAATATAAACTAGAGCACATCGTGTAATAGTCAACTGAGCCTTTCCTCCAGGTGGCCAGTCATTAACTTGTTTTGTGTTTAAGGGTTTTTGACACCACGCAGGCAAAAATTGCCTTAGATCTAAAGACGTTGAAACCCCCCGCCCCCACCCGTGTTAATCTTGACATGTAAATATGTCAAAAATATTGTTCAATGCTTGAGCCTTTTATATAGCGAGACATAAATAGAACGCAATCAAAGCTGTAATGAGTACACAAGGAATAGGTTATTAAATGTTTATTTGCTCAGTGACTATAGGTTTTTTGAGAGATACAAGAAAAAATGTAAACATCGTAAGATCTAGTGAATTTTACAAGCTTTTTCTATAGTTGGGATATGAGATTTGATCCTGTTGTTTCTGATGGACAGATACAGGAAATTAATTGATGAAGAAGCTATCACAAGCTAAAAATTGGGTCTATAGAAGCAACTTTTCAACGTTTTCAAACATGAAGTAATATGCCCATTGCTGGGTTTGACTACAAGTATTCACCCCAGTGTTACTTCTGCAGAACCCTGTAGCTAAAGTGTTAGAGGAGTTCCAGTACTTTTAAAATGTTAGTATTTTTTTATAGTCAATGTCCATATTTTATGCTTCTGCTTTTAGAAACGATAAGGTGCTGTATAGTCCACATTTTTAAATTTGTTTTCCTTGTGTAAATACAAAATAAAGTACTTTAAAATTTAAATTTTTTTTCTTTATTGTTTCCATAGCAAGTGAAGACGTTAAAGAGATCTTTGCAAGAGCCAGAAATGGGAAATACAGACTTCTGAAAATATCTATTGAAAATGGTTAGTTGACATTTTAACATACTATGTGCCCTTGGAGTATTAGCTGTTACAGTTGCAGGTTTCCAAATGTTATTAATAATTTGAATTATTAATCAGCATGAAGTAAGTTCAGATTTTACCTCCCTGCCTGTTTTCCTTTTAAATTGTGTAGCTGTTGGGGAAACACGAGATAGTTTCTGTTATGATAGTATCATCTTTTGTGTCTTTCTGCACTACAATTCATGTCTAATGTCAGTGCTTTCTTTTCTAGAATGAAAATCGGTAACCAGTCGATTATTCAAGACAGACAAAAGCTAATTTGGGAGTTATTCAGTGAAGTGTGTTTTGAAGTAGAAACATTTCAGATGATTTTGGTTTTTTGCCTGATTGGACCATAGAGTAGCAAGATCCTTTCTTGTTTGGGAACATTGTAAGAACATGGTAGATTACAAACTGACTCCTTAACAATCATGGTATAAGCTGGGAAACTAGACAAGTGGTCACATCTGAATCAGATGGATTTGAAGTTACTGTTAACAACTTCATGTCAGAATGAATGTGCTGAAAGTATTCTGTTGACCTCAAATAAGCTGAGACCTTTTATTTCAGAAAAATAACATGTTTTTTTCATAAACTGGAAATAAATCAACTTTTTTTCCATTTTTCTGCTTATTTATTAAAATGTAAAAATAGAAATCTTACAGTATTCATTAGGAACAAATGTATACTTCAAAACAGCTAAAATTGTTTATGTCAGCAAAATGGGAAGGTAAAATGTATCTAATTAACACTTCATCAGGAGGAATATTTCTGTTTCCTAAGTATTTTCCTGGTTCTTTTTATCTTGAGAAAAATGCTAAATTAGGAAATGTCAGAGAATTTAAAAACAAATAGCAACTTCTTAAATGAATGAGTTATTACTTTATAGGGTGCCCCAAACCTTTTAAAATGTTACTGTTTTTCTGATGAATAACATCTTTTGACAGTTGTCTTTTTTTTTCCTTTGGGCAGCTTCAGTATGATCAGTCCCCTTTGCCTAAATGTTTACATAAGTCACAATGCTGTTTTTTAAGTTCACATAAGCTGCATATTGTTTTATTCTTGATTTTATTGCTGGGATGGGGGGGGTTGTTTTGCTAGTCTGTGGTTATTTTAAAACATGAATAGTGATTTCATTTGCGCGTTCTGTTATGGGGAAGATGGAAGCTGTCATTGGTTTGCGCTATTGCTATGTAGTCCTATAGCATGCACCTGTCCGTGGGTACAAGTGGTTCTGTGGGAAAACTCCCTCAGAATCTTACTTAGTTCTACAAGATAGCGTTCAGAAGTGACAGCTCCCAGTTCTAGTTTATGCTTTGAGGAAGCATTTTAAATCAGCAGCGTTGTTGTCAGGTAGGAGCTAAAGCTTGTTTCATAATTCTTTACAATTAAATATTAATGTCAAGAATTATAGATTTGTAGCAAGTGAAGATATATGTGTATAATATATGGTCATTTTCAACATTTTAACAAATAGAAATCTAATTGACCTTTACTTGAACATTTAACTCAGCTATTATCATTTTTGTGCTTTTATTCCTTATGTTATATATAAAATACTTTAACCATGCTTTTCGTAAGATGTTTATATTGTTCTCAGTCATGCCTCAGATCAGAAATTTTTTGTACATTTCCATCTTTTCAATTTTTATGGGAAGATAGAATTGAGAAATAACCGGCTTTTCTTGTCTTCATCATATTATCCCTTGATGCACCCGACATTTATCTGTTTGCCGTTTTCCTTTCATAGAGCAGCTTGTGATTGGGTCCTGTAGTCAGCCTTCCGATTCCTGGGAGCAGGATTACGAGGCCTTTGTCCTGCCCCTGCTGGAGGACAAGCAGCCATGCTATGTATTATTCAGGTTAGATTCTCAGAACGCTCAGGGATATGAGTGGATATTCATTGCATGGTCTCCGGACCAGTCTCATGTGAGTAACTTTTTGTAGTTTTTGTTTGCTTGTTTCATTTTTGTTTTGTTTTGTTTTTAACATTACATGCTAGGGAGATTTTTTTTTTTTTTTCTCTGAAATATTGTCAGACTAAAAGAATGGTAAAAAGCAACAGTCATTTCCTGTAGAGGGATAATCCTTTCACCAAACAGAAAGAGAAAGTTGATAGTAGACTAAAATAGAATAAAGGATAGAATTAGGGTGTGATACTGCCCAATATTTTAAAGTCTCAAGTTTCTTACAAAAAGCTAATTTTTAGTGCTGTCTAGTTATTCTCAAAAGATTACCCCTTTTTACCTCTTCTGTCTCAAGAAATAGCAGGTCTTACTGTTTAGAATTAAGAAATTGTTTCTGTTGGTTGACGGTTACCTAGGAAAGCTACTAAAGCTCCTTAATAATAGAGTGTATGTCTTTTCATCCCGGTGTTGCTCATCCAGTGGTGTTTGCCACCAGAAACCCAGCTCTTACCTAGGAAGGTCTGCTCTAGCTATCGCTGTAAAGGTTGCTTTATATTGATTTTCACCCCCTTGTATTTTGAAATTGTATCTTTGCTATTTTTTTATTCTTGCAACTTTTTTTTGCACTTTGTAAAGTTAGTTTATTTTGTACTTTAAAAAAGTATGCTACATAATTTAAAAACCTACTTTAATGGTCCCTAATGACTTAGACACCCATGCTACAGTAGTCGGAGTCAGCTCATTGGTTTACATATTGAAGATTGTAACATCAGTGCTTTCTTTTATAATGGTGTGTTTTGTAATGGTAATACTTTTAACATGTAAAACTTCCACAATTGTGTAGGTTCGTCAAAAAATGTTGTATGCAGCAACAAGAGCAACGCTGAAGAAAGAATTTGGAGGCGGCCACATTAAAGATGAAGTATTTGGAACAGTAAAGGTGCAAAACTTAACATTATATGCATTTTTAAATGTGTTTCAAAAATAACCAAAACAGAAATGGTGAAGCCAGGCACAGTGGCACACACCTTTAATCTAGCATGTGGGAGGCAGTAGTCTTTGAGTCTGATACCAGCCTTGTCTACATACTGAGTTCCAGGACAGTCCTGGCAACATATGGACACTCTGTCTCAAAATACCAAAAAATAAAATAGGTGAAAGAAGAAGGTAGTTCATATGAATTTCAGTGTCTCAGTCTGTAAGCGTAAGGCAAGTATTGTTACAGCTCATGATACACAAGTTTATGTTAATGAGTTCACTTGTATCCATTTGATATTGAGAGTGAATGCTACTGAAACATGCTTATCCTCCAATATTTGTGCTGTAGTGATGCATTTATGACTTTGTTCATAGATGAAGATGATTGGAATATGCTTTTGAACAGCTGACTTACACTTCAGTGTCAGAAAATGATACACTGTCGCCAGTAGAGGAAGTGTTAGTGACAGGGTGGGCTGGCTTCTCAGCCTTCTCACTGTCAGCCTTCAAACTGTCTAAGCTCACGCTCAGCCTTCCAAGAGCAAAATGCTCAAAGCACACCTCTTTGAAGTACTTTTTTCTTTTATGAATACTTCTGCAGGTACTATATAAGGGATTTTAATACAGACTTTAGAATCTGAATTACTCAGAATAGCTGTACAACAGCTATTTCTACAGGTGGTAAGTTACAGGTGGCCTGTACGCTTGAGGCGTGATCATTTTATTTGACTGATCAAACTTAGACAAACGATTTAGTGATTATAAACTTCAGGAAAAGGAGAAGAGGCACTTGTTAAAATTTTGAAACCTTCAAATTAGAAGATTAAAGTAAGAAGAGAGTAAAATTCTTACTATTATTTATTGGCCACTTAATTTTTTTTATTAATTTTGTTTTTCCTTGTATATCCTCTGTAGCCTCACCTTGGTTGTGTTTCTGGAACATAATATTTATTTCTTTGCTTACAGGAAGATGTATCATTACACGGATATAAAAAGTATTTACTGTCCCAGGCTTCCCCTGCCCCACTGACTGCAGCTGAGGAAGAATTACGACAGATTAAAATTAACGAGGTAAGTAACAACCCGAGAGTGCTCTCAGGGTTTCAGATGTGTCCAAGTAATGTGTTTAATGAGTAGACATGAAGGTAACTGAAAATTAGAGATTGGGTTGCTTCTGTATAGTTTAGAAACAGACCTGTGTGCTTAATGTATTTTCAGAAAAAACAAAACGAAACAAAACAAAACAAAAAAAACCAAAATCAAAACCAAAAAAACCTGAAACATTCATCTTAAACTAATAGCAGTTCATAAAGGGTTGTCCTGAGATGTACATGCTAAAGCTTCCTACTAGAAGCTCTGTGCCATGAGTACTTTTTAAAGGAAAAGTGTGTCATTCATTGATTGCAAAGAGTTTTCATCCAATACAACTACATAAAGAAAATTCTTCATACATTGCTTCAGGGAATAGTGTTTACTACAGAGAATAAAAATAAAATACTGGAGAATGCTTTTCAAATGGGTTTTAATTTCTGTGAACGTGGATGGCAACATACCTGGGCGGTTGAGTATTTGTTACATACATTGAAGCCAATAAACCTGGAGCCATAATTCTCTAGACATCTAAGTTAGTTTTTCTAACTGTTTTCTTTCTACTGAAACTTTACAGAGAACAAGTGTCCCAAACCACTGTTCACTGGTTTTCATATCAGAGTGGACCAGTCTGGAAATGGCTCAGTCCCTTTAATATTAGGTTGACAGCAAGGATCTAACTTGTATTTTAAACTAAAGCTATTTGAGTAGGGATTTTATGTGGCTTTTTTTTTTCAAGTTTGATAGTTTGTTTTATTCCTTGCAATCAGAACCCAGAGGATCATGTTGGGGTATGCGCTTGCATATGTTCTGTGATGTGTTCATTTTCCAATACCATGCTGTAGAATCTCCATTCTTTTTTCCTTAAGTTTGTGTTCAGCTTTCTGTTGCAGTAATGCAAATGAGGCCCTTTACTAGCTGTCATTTATCAAGTAGCAAAGTCGTAATAAACATGTGTGTTGAAAAGCTTTCTTGAAGTAGTCTCCTCATCCACGCACACGCTGTTGAGTAAAGAAAGCCCCACATCTAGATCATGCACAGCTGTAGCGTGTTGAGCCGTGTGTTGTCTGTGTTCTATGTCTTCCCTCAGTTCAGTGCATGGCGTTTGCGTTACGTTTTATGTCTAGTAGAAGACAGTAGACTTCTGTGCGTACTGCACGCAGTTTACCGTGCAGAAGTCCTGGCGAGAAAATCTTGTGCTTACAGAGGTCATCTGACGACACTCTGGGAGAGTTACTGTAGCTACTTGAGCCTGTGCCAACCTGAGCTAAGGACACCTCCAAAGCCCTAGAGCTGCTCACTCAAGCATCCCTCCCAATATTTCATAACAGTGTGTCATGCGCTTTGCATGTCCACAGTATGGGAGCAAGACAGTAAACCAGTGTGAGAAACGATTCACCTCTAAATTAAGAATTTGAATCATAAATCGTAAAGGGTAAAGGAGACTTTTTTAAGTGGAATTTTCTTCTTTTTGCCATTAGACACTGCTAATACTAAAAGCTTTATTAGTCAATTATATCTGTCATTTGTAGGTACAAACTGACGTGGGTGTGGACACGAAGCATCAGACACTACAAGGAGTGGCATTTCCTATTTCTCGAGATGCCTTCCAGGCTTTGGAAAAACTGAGTAACAAACAGCTGAACTACGTACAGTTGGTAAGGGAAATATGATGGCCATAAGGGGGCTGTCCTTTTTTTATTGTTTCTGGCTTGTATGATTTCTGTTTTTAAATTTACATTTTTGCCTTTCTTGTTTTTTTATTAATTTTTTCTTAAGACATGCTTATTCGTTTTTTAAACCACAAAGTACCTGTGAAAAAGTATGTGTAAAATGTTACATAATCCACAACTATGTACATCATCCTTGTCTTTGGTTTAAGTTAATTTCTGTTTTACATGTTTAATGTTTCCTTTTTGCAGGAAATAGATATAAAAAATGAAACAATAATTTTGGCCAACACAACAAATACAGAACTGAAAGATTTGCCAAAGAGGATTCCCAAGGACTCAGCACGTTACCATTTTTTTCTGTATAAGCATTCCCATGAAGGTGACTACTTAGAGTCCATAGGTATGTAGCAAATTATCTTCAACGTGGTACCTTCGGTCTCAGCACCATATTTGATGTATCTCTTCCTGGGGGCCTAGTTGAGGTTTTAGAGGTCTTATAGATGGGCTGTAATTGGTAGTTCTAATTGTTACTTTAACTTACAGTTTTTATTTATTCAATGCCTGGATACACGTGCAGCATAAGAGAGCGGATGCTGTACTCCAGCTGCAAGAGCCCTCTGCTAGAGATTGTGGAAAGACAGCTGCAGATGGATGTGATCAGAAAGGTAGACGTTGCCACTTAATGCTAATGTTTTGCTGGATTCTTTTTGTCATTTCCATCTAGTACAGCATGATACATTTCCAGGTTCTGTGGTTTATAAATGAAAATATTTAATTTTATAGTTCACATCCTAAGTCCTTAGAAGCTGCTGAGTGCCTGAGGATGACCTGCCATAATTCCCGTGTTTGTAGACCTTTACCATGTAGCATGGCAGCCACCAGCCACATGCGGCTCTTTAAGTGTAACGTGAATAAAATGTTAAAGAGATTGCAAATGCTCTGGCTGTGTGCAGCACATACAGCACCTTCTATAAATTGACACATTGGGGTGCTGCTGCCCATGTGTATTCTTCAAAGCAGGGAGAGTGTAAGGAAAGACATTTTCTCACAGACAGCTGGTGTTGGGTGCTGAGCCTACAGCAATTTTAGATTCCGTGGTAACGCATGGTCTGCCTGCGCCTTTCACAGAGGATCCACTGACACTGCAGAAGTCAGACAGTAATACCTTAGGCCCTGCCGGGCCATATGGGTCCCCTTCACATGTTTTTGTTGCTTTTAAAGACCCTTAAAGTGTGGAGTGTTCTTGAGCTGGGTTAGAGATTTGCTCTGTAGGCTGTCATTGGCCTACACCTGTTTTAGGGTGATTCCAAGTAGCCCAGAGGATCAAAGAGCCAGTGTGGGGTTTGAGTATATGCGGCAGAGCAGCTGGAGGTCACACTTCTGCTTGTAAACAGTGGCTAAGTGAGCAGCGAGAAGGTGACTGGCTGACTGGCTCTAAACGACTGTTTTAGCATCTCCCTGAGAGAGACAGATGGGAAACTATGCAGACATGGTTCTTGCTTGTTGTCTCACAGAAGCACGTGTGTAGCCATCCATACTGGGAGCTGGCGTCCTGCTCGTTGGGTTTTGAATGTTCCCTCTTTCTGCCGTGTCCCACTGTTGACTTCCTATCTTGCAGATTGAAATCGACAATGGAGATGAACTGACGGCAGATTTCCTTTATGACGAAGTCCATCCCAAGCAGCACGCCCACAAGCAGAGCTTTGCTAAACCCAAAGGTCCTGCAGGGAAGAGGGGGATCCGAAGACTGATTAGGGGTCCAGCAGAAGCAGAAGCCACTACTGATTAAAAAGTGTTTTATTAAATGTTGCAATATAGTTTTGTAAAATTTTCAGCTTTTAGTACAAGGAGAACTGAAATCATTCCATGTTGATATAGTTGGGAGGAAAATTGTACTTTTTGGAAAATAGCACTTTTCACTTCTATGTATTTTTTAAATTAATGCTATAGAGACTCATGATTTCTATTTTTTAGTTAAAGCTAGACAAGGTTTCAACATAGTAATGTTTGATTGTTGTCACACCATTTTCATAGCGTGTTGATTCCACACTTTCACATAATCTTCAATGTTTTACATAGGTGGGCCAGTTTCACAAAGCCGAAGGACGTGCTTTTTAGTGCTCTGTAGTGAGATGTGAGTTTCCCTTTAAAGGGAAGTGGAAGGAGCCTGAGCCACTCACACATGGTGAGTCCGTTATGGTGAGTCGGTGGGAAGCTGCTTGCTCTGAGAGCTGTGCTCAGACTGGGCCGGTCTGCAGTGTTGAAGAGCAGCGCTTCATTGCAGCAAGGCTTCCTGTTTGACCTTTTGTTTTTAATAGCATTAAAATCAGGAAGTCACTTCATTCTGAAGCTTTGGAGCTACCCGGTATTGCCGGGTTTCTGATGGCACTGGAAGACTACGCAGTCTTGCCACAGTCTTTCAGAGCTCGCAAAGTGTCTGTTTCCAAAGTGACTCCTTCATCGTAAGTACTGTGAAGACAGACATTCATGTTCAGATGGAGACTCAAGTATCATTCAAAAGGAAACAAAACTAAAGTGAAAACTGATAGAATGCCTAAGTTTTTTTGTTGTTTTTTTATTTTATTTTTTTATTTTTTCCTCCCTTTGAAACCATGTGTCTTAAAGCAAATTGTCTTATCACTTGGGAGCAAGTGTTCTGATCTAAATTAATCAATTCCTAGTGCTTAGTAGGCTGATAATACTTAGCTCAAGGATCTTGTTTCAGTTAATAACTTCTCTCAAAACACATGTGTTTTCTGAAGCTTTGTATTTTCACTTACAACCTAGAGATTGAGCCTCAGATTTCTTTGATACTTGAAATAGAGGGAGTTAGAACACTTTGTATTTAATCTGCTAAATCTGCTGCAGAGCCATAACTGAGAAGTTTTGAAATGGACTATGGTATCCAGGTTTTGGAAGTCCCTGACCTGAACTTCGTGCTGCCTAAGATAAATGTCAGTAATGCACATTTCATGATATGAAATATGAGTCACTCATTGCAAAGCCTTATTACCTAAGGTAATACATGCGCCTTTCAGAGATTCCGTGTGCATTCACGTAGACCATGAGAGGAATTACAGGCTGGTGGGATTTTTAAACTTAGATTTGATTATTTGTGTGTTTTGTTTGTTTACAAATACTTAGACTTTCCTATTTAAGTATGCAGGACAATTGACAATAATGTTGCAGCTGTTTACTAGACGTAAACTTCAGTTGTACGTGCACATACCGTCACAAGGGCCCACAGATTGCTGTGGGGAGAGACCTGGAGCTGTGGCAGCCCATCAGGCGGAGGGAGGACTACCTGTCAAAGGTCTGTACCGAAGGTCCAGGTGCCGCCGTGCTCTGGATTCTATTACACTACATCAGAGTCATTGCACATTCCAGAGTATAGGTGTGGTCGTGTAACCTTACTAATAACTAAACCAATGATTGCTGAGAATCACGCATTTGTTTTAGGGTATAACTCATTGTTTACAATATGTGTTAGGTGATAATAGATGTGAATAACATTCCCAATAAATTTCTATAGCAGTGAAAAATTACATGTCTTCTGTGGACATTTTATAAGTGCATTTTATATCAATAAAATTTTTTCTCTTTGAATTGTGTATGGTAGTTTTCTAATACATCTTAAATATTTGTATAACTTTGCAGAATCCAATGCCTGGTGACTTTGTGTGTCATCAGCCTGCTTAAATTCAGAGGAGAACTTAAGTAGTTGGAAACCTAGGCAGGGACAGTTAGGAGTACAGAGTGCTTAGTGGAGATTAAAATTGCCCTACAGAAATGTAGCCATAATGAAAATGCATCTAGTTGCCAAGTTCCCTCTGATAAAAGCACGCCATTGAGAGGGTGGTGAGTGCCTAAACTTCCAGCACCGTCCAGAGCAGCGTTAGCTATGTAGACCCTGAGTCGGCCCGTTCCCAGGCCAAGAGGCGTCTGACGTTCTTGGCACGTTTTATAAAGACTCCTTACCTCCCAGTTCTAGAGGCTAGGAAGGTCAAGACCAAGGTGGCAGCAGTGCTCTTCCTGTGGAAAAGACAGGGGCATTGTCTGCATTTCAGTATATAATCCTTTTTCATATGTGTAATGTGGGCATGGCACGCATTACATGTCTTTTGGTAGCAATTTTGAGAAAATGGCATTTTAAAGAGCTGATTTGGAACCATGCCAGTGAGACGATGGTTCAGCAGGTGAAGGCACTTCCTCCAATCCCAACATGATTGACACCCTGGGACACAGCATTCACTCCAAGTGGGGCGCTGGCTCGCGTTTGTGCTCTGCCGTATTCATGCCCACACAGTAAGTGTAGTAAAGTCTAAACAAGTCCTTTTTCTCTTAAATTTGGAGAACTAAGATCCTGGCCCACAGTGTGCGCTATGCAAGTAGGTACTCATTTCTCTTGCATATACCTGTGAGGGTGGTGGATTCATCTCTCCTGGCTTCCTGTTCAGAGGTTCTGCTGTAGTGAATGGGCCTAGCAATCAAATGTGATTGACAGCTGGGAACATGTTACATTAAAGGATATTGTGGCTAGAAAGCTGTGTGGTGGTATACATTGGCTATGATGGCAAGATCTCAAGTAAGTCTCGGCTGTTCCGTAGCGTCTGCCTGATGGGGCTCTAGACCTCCTTTCCTGATCCAGTCTGCTCTGGCTCACTGGCTGCTCCAAGCTGTCCACAAACAGTGACCTGAAAAACAGCCTCTCCCTGGATCACTTTAACCTGTTACATGGGTGCCCCTTTTCCATGTCCAGCGCAGTTCCCTTCATGATGGGTCTCCCCTGGCCTCCAGTTTGTATGTTTTGGCTACCTCTTGCCTTTTATTTATTTTTCCTAATAGCACCTAGGCAGTTTGTCAGTCAGAGTTGTGTCATTGTAATGAAATATCTGAGAGAAATGAACTTGAGTGGGGAAAGATATAAGGGGTTTTGTTGTTTGATTTTGTTTTTTTCTGGCACAAGAGCATCCTGGCAGCTGGGAGCCAAAGATTACCACAAAGTCCCACCAGGCAACAATCCTCACACAGATTTATGGGGGAGAATAGAACAATGGCTGCCTCACAATGGGAAGAGAGACCATGGAGGGTTGGGCTCCTTTAGGGTCTTTGGAGCACTCAGTGACCTAGGAGAGTACGGGCAGTGAGCTAGTGGAAAAGTACAGGGCAGCAGGAAGCATTGCTTGAGGGTTAACTCCGAAACATTGTTTGGGGTTTAAGGCTGAGTCATAGATGTGGGGATTGCCAAGTCTCAGGGCTGTAGGTAGATGCAGGGCAGGGTAATTTTCCGCTGGCCTGTTACCCTACAAAAGATTTATTTTAGCTCAGGGTTTCTGAGTGTTTGGTCTGTGGTTGCTGGGCTTCCTTGCTGCTGGGCTTGAGAGGCAAGACACCGCAGACTTCATCACATGGTCAAGTTGCTCACCTCACCGTGTCTGGGAAACAAAGTGAAGGGAGTTGGGTTTTGTAACAAAGCCTCATAATAACCAAGCTAATATTAGCCCATTCTTGAGTGGCACCTCACCAGTGTCTATATCATTAAAGATGCTCCCCAACCCCGAAATCATTAAATTTCCTATGGACAGAAAGGGTGGGGCCTTAGAGTCCCTCCCCCTCTACTTACCATTAACTGATTGTAAGTTCTGAGGGAGAGATAGAATCCTGTCTGTCCATATGTCTTCCATGACTATGCGGACAGGCCTGATCTAATGGAGGTATTGTGCAGGTAATCATACCTGCTGTGAGTTCAAGAGAGTTCACAGGCTGGGGAGATGGCTCAGCAGGCAAAGGTGCTCACCACACAAGCCTGACAACCTGGGTCTGAAAGGTATATGTGGTGGTACCCGTCGTAATTGTGGCTTTCCTATGGTGAGATGGAAGACAGAGACAGGAGAATCACCCAGAAGTTCAAGAGCCAGCTGCCTCAGTAAGGTGGAAGGCAATAGCCTATTCCTGAAATATCCTTACTTCCACATATGCACCATGGCACGCTCAAGCAAGCCATACCTGAAGCAACTCAATAACTTCAGGAAGTCCCTGAAACTGAGCCCTCCTTCCTTCCCAAGAGTGACCTACAACGATGGCTCAAAGTCACTTTTAGACAAGTCAAGCTGCAAAGAAGACTCTGAGACCAGACAGGCTGCCTGGAAGAGGTTTACGCAAACTTAGTCACTTGGAAGGGACCCCCTCCAACCTCTTGAGCTGCCTCCAGGTTATGCAGTTTGCTCCAGGTTCCCAGCTTTTGAGAGCTGTCACCTAGGCTGGGCTAGGCTTTTGGGATGCAACTCTCTGAGTCATTTCTACTCCCTTAAGTAAGTAACCTCTCACCATATTCCTTTTAAGTAACCCAAAGGTAGTTTTAATTTGCATTTCCCTAATGACTAAGGATGTTGAACAAATTTTAAAAAATTATTAGCCATCTGTCTGCCTTTTGTGAACTACCTATTTAATTCCTTAGTGTGTGTGTGTGTGTGTGTGTGTGTGTGTGTGTGTGTGTGTGTAACCTGAGGGCGTTGGTTGTCTCCTTCCACCATTTGGGGTCCCAGGGATCAAACCAAAGTTCTTGGCCTCAATAGTAAGCACATTTTTCAACTGAGCCATCTCATTGACCCAAAGGATTTTGTATCAATGTTTGTCAAGGGCATTCAGCTACAATTTTTTGTTGTTCCTTTATCTGGCTTTGATACTAGGACAAGTGGCTCTATAACAAAAGCTTGGAAATACTCCATGCTTTGCTGTTTCATGAAATAATTTTGGAAAGATTGTTGCTGATCTTTAAAAGTCTGCAGCGAGTCTGACTTAGCTCTAGCTGTTTCAACACCATTGCTTGTTATAGATGTATTTTAACTATCTCATTTTGCTTTTTGATAGAGCATATGCATTTGTAAATTTTTCCTTTTCTTTCTTTCTTTCTTTCTTTTTTTTTTTTTCTTTTTTCTTCTTTTTTTTTTTTTTTTGGCTTCTCCAATTTGGTGGAATACGGGTTTTTCAAATGTATCCTTCTGATTTTCTGAATTTCACTGGTACCTCCAGTAATGTCTCTTTTTTATTACTTTTTTGTCCTGATCTTGTGTTTTTGTTTGTTTCTGTTTACTTCTTTCAGGCCTGCCTCCTTGTTTTTCCAAATCTCTAAGATGCTTTGTTATGTGTTTGAAACCTATCTGGGTGGTTGTTCACAAACAGGTTCTATTGTTTTAGTCTACATCTGAATGGGGAGTTCTCTAGTTATTGTTTTTGCATCTTTCTTGTCCCAAACATGGACCTTACAGTCTAGTGGTACTTGCCGGCGAGTGCCACTGTGTCCCACAGTTCTCTGAGGTTCTGTTCAGCTTCGTTTTTATACATCTCTCAGTTAATTTTCATGTTCACTGACTCTTTTTTAACTTTGCACACACACACATATGCTGTGTTTAATAGTTTTTATTATTTGTCTTTAGGACATCCTTTATATTATCTAGCAAAGCAAAATTCTTAGACTTTGGTTCTTATATAATTCTTTCTACTTTAAATATATATTTAATATAGCTTATTTGAAATCTAGTTTCCTTTGAACAATGTCTATGGACTGTTTCTCACTCCAAGATATGAGCCATATATTTCTCTTGTCTCTTATATTTTCATCGACAATTAGATGTTTTCAATAATGTAGCAGTTTCGATAATTCAAGTTATCTTCTTTCTGCAGGGTTGTTAGTCTTATTGTTTTAATTTACTGACATTTATGGACTAATAAGTTGTGAAAGTCTATATGTACATGTATATTTATATGTGTGTTAATAAATTATTATGTTAGGGGAATTTAGACCAAGAATAAGTCAAACTTGAAATTCTTTACACCTGTGCCTTCCGCCTGTCTGTTGTCTGTGATCTTAGGGCTGTCGGTGTCTATACAGTGTATGTATCTGATATCTGTCTGTCCCTGGTGTCTGTCCTGAATAAAGAGCTTCACTTTATGTTGAACAGTACAGGAAATGAACGAAGAATTCTGTTTCACATAAATCTTTAACAGAGTTTTACAAGAAAAATTACTTTATTGATTCCAACTGACCCAGAAGATCACTCAAGCCTTGAACAAATCCTACCAACCTATAACTACATGATGTTCCAACACTGCGATGGATATTTGTTTTGTTTAAGGTTGCTTTCAACCTGTTGGCTGCTTTCAGCAAATGATTATCATTAACACACACACAGGCACACACATTATTCAGAGTTGGAGGCACAGAAAAATAAAGGGTTTAACATTGAAGCTATGGAGCAGAGAGCCATAGCTTTGTGGCTTTGGTCTTCTCCAAGGCTGGCCTAAAAATGTCTCTTCTAACAACCCTTAACTGCCTACATGTCCTTTGGGATGTGAGGGGCCTGTGAACTCCTCTTCCCTCCACAAATGGGCCCATCTTGTGCATGCTGTGTGTAGATAATGGCCGCTGCTGAGGGCTCAGGAGAGCAATGGCCATGTTATGCCCAGAGGAAAGTGTTCTTCAGACCCGCACCTTTTTCTCTGGCTCTTATGCTCTACCCATCCTGTCTTCTGTGGTGTTCCCTGTGGTGGTTTGAGTGAGCATGTAAGCCCATAGCCTCTGAACACTCGCTTCCCAGGTGGTGCTGCCATTTGGGGAGTTGTATATGGCTGCGGCCTTGTTCGAGACAGTGCAGCACTGTGGGCACCCCTGAGGTTATATAGCCTCACTCTACTTCCATCTCTTTCTTTGCTTTATGTTTGAGCTTGCAGACGGGAGCTCTCAACTTCCTGCTCCCGCTGCCATGCCTGATGCTTGCTGCCATGTTTCCCTACCATGACAGACTCTTATACTTCTGGAACCATAAGCCCACAAGTCTTCATTCTAAGGTGCTTTATCACAATGGTACGGTGTTTTATCACAGAAAGAAAAAAAGGAACTAATTCATTTCCTGAGACTTAGAAGGAATATTTAGAGTTAAGCATTCAACTGTCATTATTCTCAGCCCTTTGATCAGTTAGAGTCTCTGAGGTAACTAACACTTACTGTTAAAAGAACCTTTCCTGGCCAAGGCTGACAGCAGCAATAAATTACAGAGATAAACATTCAGGGCTTGGAAGTCAAATCTGGCAGGTACATATCTGTTTACCCAAACAATAAAAGAATTTCCCAATAGGACCCATGACTTCATTATCCAAAGGCTTTTGGCCAGCCAGTGTTACAGTACTTGATATGAATCGCCTCCTAGGAAGTAGGCTGGTCACAAAGCAGTTGGTAGTATCCATAACAATTGTGCCACTATTGCGAGAGCGGTCACATCTTGCCTGAAGAGTCTGCAGGGTAGCACAGGGATCACCTCTGAGTAGAACGCCTGCGGACAGTCTTTCCCCAGCAGCCGGCTCAACCCCCTTTCAGCACCCTGAAAGCTAGCTAGCAGGTGAGAAGCTTCATCTCTAAATGTCCCACAAGAAAGTGTGTGGTGTTTTTAGTATTAGTACTGGGTCTTGTCATCTAGTTCTGGTGAACAACCTACTTAACAACAGTGAAGAGAGCCTTATACAGGGATGGAGAGCATTCCTGTGGCCAACAACTCAGGAAGTGCCCTGCCTCAGCCCTGGAACTTTCACTAAACTTCTGGCTTCTAGGAGTATTCATTTCTACCAAACAAGGGACCTCTGTTCAAACTCTGAGCTTCATTTTGACAGTGACAGGCACCAGCTGTTGGAGGACTGATTGGTTGCTTTCTTTCCCGTGTTGTAGGACCTCTGTGCTTTACCCAATCATAAAGTTCTCAAGAATTTCCCCGTTGCACACGGCCCTCACACCTTGTGTGAACTGGATGTGTTTCAGAAGCCTCTTCTTTTTCTAAAACATCTGTTTCATTTTTAACTATGTCTGTGTGTGGGCATGGGTACACACATGTGATTACAAGCGCCCTCAGAGGCCAGAGGCATCAAATCCCACCGGAACTGGGGTTCCGGGTGATGGTTTGTAGATTACTTGACATGGATGCTGGGAACTGGATTTGGGTCCTCTGCAAGAGCATAACTACTGGGCCATCTCTCCCCAGCCCTCTCAGATGCCTTTCTAAACCTCTAAAACCTACAGAATGTAGCATTACCTGACCTGTGAGATGAAGCCTTTTATTCAAAGGGTGGCACAACCTCTAAAGGCCCACTACCCGCCAGGCCAACCAATTGCCAGTTGATTTCAGAAGTCAGTAGCTACTGGAATACTAAGGAAAAAATAGAAGTGTGTTCCACGATACCATGAAATTTTTCATTTTTTTTCCTATCAGTTGTTTTCTCAAAAGTCCCTCAAAAGCCCAGTGCTGGGTACAGCTGTGAGACTAGGAGAGACTTTCTTAGTTACCCGCCACTATCCACAATCATTTGTTGTGAGTTGCCGCTTTTCCTCATGCTGGGTTGCTACTGCAGGGATGAAACACATTTCCCCACCTGCAATGGGCTCAGTGGGGCTTGGGCAGGCTCCTGTTGCTTGGACTGAGCCAGGGCCTACAGGAAGCACAACCACACCACACCTGCCATGACCAACAATCTCCACAGATGTGATCTTCTCTGATCGTGACTGGTTGCTGTCTCTCCATTGGCTGCATCTGGCTACTGGGAGGTCTGTAGGTTGGGTAACGCTTTCCAGTCCCAGCATACTGTGTCTCGGGAGTGGACGGCATGTAGCTTATTCTGGTTGGGGGTGGATGGGAAATTATGACCCTGAGGACAAACAGTCTTCTTCACCTGTTCTTCAGACATTTGCATATTAATTAAACTTCTGCTTTTGGGCCTTAAAGCCTTCCAGAGGCTCAAAGGCACTGGTCTTTGCTATCATTTTTAACTTAGGAACTCTGGCTTGACACTAATATTGCCTCAAATTTGCTTTCCAGTGTTCCCACACAGGTCCCTTGTATGATTTTTTTAAATCACCCCTCATGATTGCTGTAGTACTTGATGAAATTGCTTACACATCAATCTACACCATCCAGACCTGCCAGAGGCTCTTCTTCCTAAGGCCACACCTCACAACAGGCTCAATGGAGCCATTAGAGCCTGTGCTAGTCCCAAGGTAACTGCTGGGTCAGCCTTCCTTAAGTCTCCTTAAGGAAGAGGACAATGACCAAGGTACAATGACCAAGCCTGCGACACTGCCTTTCTCGTGCTTAATTATTTCTGTAACATCCATCTTTCCTCCGCTGTCCATTAGTCCACAGTCAGGGGAGCCTCAGCTGGAGAAAACTAAGTACCTGTGATAGGTCCTGTGAGCCACCCATCAGAAACTGAGTTCACCCATCGTCTCAGGTGACTTAGCTTTTGTCTTAAGGAGGGATCCCTGGTTATATTAACTTTCCTGCTTCCCCAACACCCTAATCCCATCTGCACCATTGTTTTACAACCTGATGAGCAAGGCTGTAATTTCTCGTTTAAAAGCCTCTCCTGATTCAAGCAGTTTAATGGCACAATATTCCATGATTATCATACTGGGCCATTATTAAGGCCCCCAAGCACCACAGACATTTTTCCTTCCTCTGTATTAAAGATCGTGCTTGAGGGATGTCTTCCATTCTTTACTCCTCCTCATTGTCAAGTTCTCCCTACGGATTCCAAGATTGGGGATTCCAGGGTGGACTACTTAGCATACATATAAATTTTATTTTCTTTAAGCCCCCCCTCCGATATATGAAATAGCAAGCTACCAGGTCCATCTTGTGTCAGATAGAAAGCACTAAATGATGAGTTCCGTTACCAATAATGTGCTTGTATTGCATTAAGGATAGAAATCAATACAGCACTTCCCTTTGGTGTCATTTAACCAACAGTGAGCCCAGATGTGAATTGTCTACTTTACTGTCTTGTTTCTTCCCTCATCCCTGTCTGTTGGTAGTATTGAGTCTGAATCTGTGTCTGCCTAAATACTATGTTTGTGCATCTGTGTATGTCTATGTGGCTATCTCTAACAAAGACCAAAGGGCATAGACAGCATCACATGGGGAAGGAATGAGGGGCATTTTACAGAAATATTTAACAGTTTTACAAGTAATTAAGTCACTGACTTCAACTGACTCCAACTGACCTAGATAACAAACAGTTTTACATATATGGGCATTTTTTTCAAGCAATGCCCATGAGTTGTCTTCAGAGATTATGGGTGTATTCATTTTATAAGACTGCTTTCAACCTATGTTGGCTGTTTTCAGTAAATGATTAGCATGACACACACAAAGCACACACATATTACGCCTGGGTCAGGGGCATGGAAGAATACATAAAAGATTACACATTCATTAGCTGTGGTTGTAAAAGTTGGCTATGTGGGAAATAAGTTACTCCGTGGCAAGTAAGGTTGATTACTGCATTGTTCCTTTAAAGGCAGGTTAAACAAAGAAGCTGGGTACACAGTAGGATATCCGTCTTAAGTGACCTCAAGGTATATTATTAACTGGCTGTGGGGTCCAGCAAAAGTTCTAGTCTCTTCAAATGTAAGAGATTTTTAAAATCCTGTACTGCCAGACCACTTTTTTGAGAGATGAGAGACACACAGAGAGGCAGAGATAGACACACACACACAGAAACAGAGACAGACAGAGAGACATACATACGCACAAACACACACACAAAAAGAGAGAGAGATTGCTTGAGATTAAAGGGAATGTGCGACCAATCCTGGTCTCATTTTTTTCCTTTCATTTTACCTGCCAACTCAGAGGATAATACAGAGGACAGATAGCATCTGTGTTTTTTTTTTTGTTTTGTTTTTTCTCATTCTAAGCCCCCTTTTAAACAGGCAAGTTCGTTCTGGACAGACAGCTCAGCTTCAATGGCATGTTGTACCGATGCCACAGGGTGCTGAGGACCCCATCCCACCTGTGCTACTTTCAAGGACTGTAGTATTGAGCAGCTGAATCAGGAAGGAGGCCTGCACTGCATGCCGATAGAGGAAGATGCCCTCTCTGGAGCTTGGCTCACAGACACTCCGCCTGCAGATGGAGCAGGTCTGTTGTGCCAGACATGTCTTTTCACCCAAGGCAGGAACAATGGAGCCTCCACTGCAGCGAGAGAGCCTGCCATTCCTGCCACATGCAGGAGGGTGACAGCAGGATGGTCCCCTTGGACGCTGCATCCTCGGACAGCTTAGCTTCAATGGCTTGTCTCATCTGCCACAGCAGACAGTGTAAACACCACCCCTAAGCTCATCCTTGGTTCTGACATGCCCCATGTATCGTACCAAGTGTGTGAGTTTTTCTTGAGGAGGCAAGCAAACATCGATTTGTTCAAGGTTGGACACTGGTAACAAACCAATCAATTGATTCTACACATGTTGACATTGGTGGTAAGTTTAATTAGGGCGATAGGAAGGTGAGAGGTTACTTACAGGAGCATGGTGTTCATAGCCCAAAACAAAAGCCAGATCCAAGACTTAAGGTAGCTAAGAGCTGGACCAATGCTTTACAGGAAGTTAGTGAGGTGTGCTGAGCTTCAGGGGCTCTGGCTGGATGGTGGTGGTGCACACCTTTGATCCCAGTGTTCAGGAGGCAGAGGCAGGCAGATCTCTGAGTTCAAGGCCAGCCTGGTCTACAGTGACAGTTCTGGGACATCCAAGGTTTCGGTTACCCTAACACAGAGAAACTCTGTTTCAAAAAACCCAAACATCTCCCCCTGCAAAAAGACCCCAAACCTAGGGTCTCTGTACCCTTCAGCCCAGTGCTGTTTTGCCAAATCTTGCAGTTGTTGTAGTTGGTGATTGTGGCTTTGAGGGTGCTACCATGTTACCTGACACTTTTGCTGTGTGTCAGCACCCCCATGAACTGACCACTACGCTGCACCATGCTGCCTCGCTGAAGACAGAGAACATTCAGGAAAACCAAAACCAAAACACAGGCTGGGGATGTAGCTTCGTGTCCAAGCACTTGTTTGATCTCCAGGATCACAAGAAGTAGGAAAAAAAAGAAAGGTGGTGGCGGTGGTGCGTGGTTCCAGAGCTGTGTATATATAAATATACATTTAACAAATGAAGTCCTGTTTTATTAGTTTTAAGGAGACATTTCTTGGAGCAGTTGCTGAACCTTTCAAAAAAAAAGAGAACAAAAGAATCACGTTTCACAGATGCTTTGACATGTATACCCGGTAAAGGATAGCAGCCCTACCCCCCTTCGCTGTAGACGCGGACATCACAGTGCGTACCTTGGTAATGTCCGGCCTCTTATTTTTCTTTTCCTGCAGACACTGACTAGCAGCGGAGTACATGGCCTCGACGGAAGCAGGGTCCACGTCGTTCATCTTCTTGTCCGTGTAGTCTTCAATCGTCTTTTCTTCATCTTCAATTTCATCTTTAATATCCAGCTTTAAAAATGGGCATGAAAATGTGGTTAGAAGCTTCAAGATGAAAAGCAATCAGAATATACATTGAAATTATTTAAATTCATCTGACTTCTAAAAAATTTTTTTATAACCTCATCAGGAATTGAAGCCACACAGGACAAATGTTAGATAAGGAAAGATATGCACACACACACATTGCAGATTTACTGGTTTTATTCCCGTGTATGCCTACCCATCTGCTTTATGATTCTCGTCTCTCTGTGATGAGCTAACTGCTTGCATTCTTACTGGCAGCATTTGTCAGTCCTGTGTCATCAGCTTCTTGATGCATTTCTGAAAATGCAACTCCACCTTCTGGATCCAGACACCCCGTCTTTATCCACCATGACCCAGACTGATGGATCAAAGAGAAAGAGTGGGAGAGTGGGAGATGAATGAGGGGATGGTGCTGTGTGTTGAGTGGTCGGTTGAGTGGTGGCCTCAGAACTGTGCATGTGTGCGTGTCTACATCCTGGTTCCTGGAGTCTGTAAATATGACCCTATATGGAAAAATGGTCTTTGTAGATTTCTGGAATGAAGGTCATTTTGGGCGTGTTCCCATCATAGGAAGGATTGGGGGTGTGGCCTTGCTGGAGGAAGTATGTCATTGGAGGCGGGCTTCAAGAGCTCAAGGCCTCACTCTACTCCGAGTTCACTCTCTGTTTTGAGTTTCCTATTCCTGCCCCCATTCCGGCCAGTTGCTACCATATCTCTCTGCCATAAAAGACTCTGGAAAGATAAGCCCCAGTGCGCCCTTTCTTCTGGATGTGTGCCTGGGTCATGGTGTTTTATCACAGCAATAAAACAGCTCCAACTTCAATGACAAGTGTATGTATCTATATAAGACAAAAAGGAAAAGACACAGAAAAAAACGTGACTGGCAACAGCAGAGACTGTGGTGACAGCGCTATAATCCAAGGCTACCAGAAGCCACCAGGACCTGCAAGAGGCAGGGGACGGTCTTCCCTGGACCCTCAAGAGGGACTCATGGTCTCACCAAACCTTGAGTCCTGACTTCCAGCCTGTACTGGGAGAGCATGTTTCTGTCACTTTGAGACACCCTGTTCATGGTATATTTTGTAATAGTTCAAAGAAACTTGTGTTTAAAGAAAGGATTATGAGTGAGGAATGGAATGGAACATTTCAAAACTCTTCCAAAAGATGGCTGGATTGTGAGGTCACACAGGGAATGGTAAAAGGCTTGCCGAGAGAGATCCCTCCTAGCTGTGTGCACGTTTCAATCTTAGGACTTTGTAGCTGTACCACACTCTAGGGTACGGTGTTTCTTGAGTTTTACACTTTCACTATTAAATGATGCAGTGTAAACCTGTGACTCATAGAGATCCTATGCTTCATTCTGACTCAAGCTACGGTGGTGACTTTTCCACGTTCTAAAGGGGAGAAGGATGTAGTAGGTGTGGGTAGGCTTTAGGTAGGCAAGCTTGCCTGAAACGGAAGCTCAGTTTGGTGAAATACAGGCTGTCACCACAGCCCCACACCTTTATGTGGGTGTGAGAACAAGTGTGCAGGGGCCTGTGGAGGTCAGAGGTCAGCCCCGGGAGCTGGGTTACAGGCACTTGTGAGACACCGCACGTGGGTGCTGGGAACTGAACTTGGCCCTCTGGAAAAGTAGTATGAGCTCTTGACTGCTGAGCCGTCTCTCCACCCCTGGCACCAAGACTGAACAAGCAAGTGTCACCTTCTGATTGTCTAATCCTAGTTCTGGGACATGATCTAGTATATATCTATTGTCTGTTATTGTTCATACCCATTTGTTCTATCAGAGCATATAAACAAATTAGAAAAAAAGAATATAGCTGTTAATTGTGAGAAACATTCATAGATGATATATGTTTACATATTATAAGACAAACATATGTATATCATATATATCTTATTACAAATATAAAGAAATATACATATATATGATACGCAAACACACACACACACATATATATAACTTTAAAGGACATGGCATAATTTATCTATAGTTTAGTTACCATTTAACTCATCTGCTTTTAAATTATCAATCAAATGTTCAGAATTAGAGGCTAGGAATGGTAGTACAAGAGGGAAGTGTTTTAACTCTGTACGTAAACACTCCATGATGAAATAAAAAAGCTTTTACTGGCATTTATATTCTTATGCAGATGTAAATGAAAACTATGATTTCCCCCCCGATGACCTGAAAATACTCTCACCACCTGGAGTCTGTTTACACCCTGGAAGGTAAATAAGCTGCAGGTAAACTAGATTTCTTCTCATTTTGCCCACAAAGACACTGGAACAAAGAATGTACAAATAATCTTTTTAGGTTTCACAAAGAGATCCTAGCAAACCAAAGACTGGAAATGCACTGTGCTCTTTTACTACAGCTGTTACACGTAGCCCGTCTTCTGTAGGAGAATGCCATTTCTCCATACCAGATTTACCCACAAAGATCTAAGGCCCCAAAGGTGAAAGAGGAGACTGACAAAAAAAAAAAAAAATTAGTTACTAGTAACTGAGGGTCACGGTTTTCATCCACGGCCGCAAGTCCTGTTATCAGCTCTAATAGAACCTAGGAAGACAAAAGGACCCATTAGCAAAACACTGGAGACATCAAGTAGAAAGGAAGAGGAATGAGGGGTGAGCCCAGGGACTCGAACACGCAAGTGGGACTTTCCTGTCTGGCCATTGGCCTGGGGCACAGGGACTGACCAGCTGTAGGTATCCCAGGAGTTCCATTCACCATGCATGATGGGAACTCCAAGTCCTTTTGTCTCTTACAGGGCTCTCAGGAGAAGCTTATTTTTTAGCCAGCAGCCATATGTTACAGCCCCGTGCCTTAACTTTATGGTGGAGTTATGTTCAGTTTCCATCAATGAAACGTATTTGGAAAACTAAGATGGAGATGAAGCCCTACTAATCTTGCCCCTCATCCTCCAGCTCTGGCTGTTAGATAAAAACATGACAAAAAAGGAAAGCGAAGAAAGCACCCCTTCTGTGATATGATTAACTTTGGGCTGTGAGTCAGTTTAAGCTTCACCTGAATTCATGGTAAGATAATCCTTACTTGCAGTAACTAAAAAGGAGTCAACTCAAAACTTTTCTACATTGGGGATTGCTCATAAGCTTTTTGGTGTAACTGCAGGCTAATGCGAATAGTTTTTATTTTTATATAAGAGAGATAGGAAGACACAGGACTAAAATGTGTCTTCTAAAATGTTCTAATTTAAAAAGAATAATCGTGGGTTGGAAAGACGGCTAAGCAAGAAAAGGCATTTGCCACCAAGCCTGGTGACTGGTGTTTGATACCCAGAACCAACATGGTGGAAGGAGAGAACTGACTCCCAGAAACTACCCTCTAGCCCTTGGCATATGTATGCTGTGACACACACACACACACACACACACACACACACACACACACACACACAAATACTATAAAGAAATACATGCAAAACAATAGAGAGAATGACCGCGTACCACACCAAAGCTGTAGATGTCAGATTTGGGCGTTATTTCTCCTCGCAAAGCTTCGGGTGCCATATAAGCTGTTGTGCCCACAATTCGGCTGGTCATGACGGTCTGTGCAAACTTTGCCGAAGCCCGTGCAAGCCCAAAGTCAGATATTTTGGCAGTAAAGTCTTTGTCTAGTAAGATATTTGCACTGAAAAAAAATTAAATTTGAAGGAAGAAAACATTTTTCTTGCCTAGGAGTTGAAATAAGTTCTTAGAAGTTATTTATGTGTACATATATGGTTACATCATAGTAACTATATCATTTGGTAGATGCAGCATAGAAGACCGAGACATGTTTAAATCAGTCAATTATTCAGATGACAGTAAGAGAGAAATTGCTGTTTTCCTTATCTTAAAGAGAGGTGTTTAAAGGAATGAAAACAATAAAAGTTCCTCTTCTAAGGGAGGCACTTTTTCAGTATGCCACAGACAGCTATTACTAGCAAAAAAGCCTTCCAGTGGAATACACACACACACACACACACACACACACACACACACACACACACACACACACACTTATAATGCTGGTGACTAACCCCAGCCGGGCAACAGCTTTACTACTGAGCTCTATCCCTAGGCCAAAAGCCCTGGTCTTTGGAGATGACTGAAATTTCTAAGGGGGTATATTTGCAGAACTTACGTAGTCCATCACGGTAGTTCAGTCTTGTCCACAGCGTGTGAGAGTCACATGGGGCTTGGAGGCATGTCAGCCCCTATGAGCCGTTCCTGTGTGCTGGGAGTTTGTGTCCTCACAGCCACACTGAGAGACCTCACGGGCTGTCTTAGCCCACAGCTCTACTGAGCCAAAGAGGACTCAGAAACCATGGCTCAACTTTGTTTGGTGCCGCTTCTGTTTCCCCTACTGGACCCTGTCCCTAGTGAGAACTCCTGAGTTCCAAAGTTCTCTGGGGTTGGTTCTAGAAATGAGTGAGTATTTGTCTGTCTGTGTCAGGGTTTGAAATAAGCCAAAGGTACCGTTTGGTTTTTAAAAAATTTTTTAATTTACATTGGTGTTCTACCTCCATGTATGTCTGTGTAAGGATGTCGAATCTCCAGGAACTGAAATCACAGACCGTTATATACTGCCATGTGGGTGCTGGGACTTGAACCTGGGTCCTTTAGGAAGAACAGCCAGTGCTCTTAACCACTAAGCCCTCTCTCCAGCCCAACATACCTTCTTAACTCCTTTCCTAACATTTTTCAAACTTCCAACTAAAGCACTGACATTTTTGTCTTTCACCTGTCCTTCTTCTGTATTTCCTAGAATAGTGAAATACATATGTAACTCTGGCTGTCCTTGAACTCACAGAGATCTGCCTGCCTTTGCTATGCCAGCAAGCCCAGTGTACCCCCTGGAATCTTAAAGAAGGATCATATACAGCTAAATGGATCTTCATCCATTTATTCGTTTGTACGTATTGTCTTACTGGGAGTTCCTACAGTTCATAGGATTTAAGCTGAATGCTTTACATGAGGGGGAATCACAGATCTTATTTGTGACAAAGACATATGGATACTTTTTAAAGATCAATGAAGACTACATGATGGTCATATTGGTGCAAAATGCTGAGAGAATAATTCTGATTAGGTGAACTGAGGAGGGGAGAAGCGTGTTTATAGTGTTAAAGGCTCTTAGAGGAGGAAGGTCCTATGAGAGAAGACAGACAGGTGAGTGGATGAACATGTACAAGATGGTGAAAGCACAGAACAGCCAGCGTCATGATCACTCAGGGAACCAGTGTGCATGGAGCACAGGAGGAACCTGGACTTTGCCCTTGAGCACCAGGCCACCACTCAGCTTTCAGGATGGGTGACCGTGTTATCAAACAAGCCTCTTAGGACCTCGACCTGACGTTGTGGTGGTGAATGGCTTAGGCCTAGTACAAGCTACCTTGATTGAGAATGAGGGCTTGAACTAAAGATGAAAGTTAGCAAACGTCTAAACAGGCAAAATGCTGGGGATAGACGGGAAGTGAAAATCTGCAGGCACACCCAATGGACCGTTGCAACGGCGTGGTGTACAACAGGAAGAACGGAAGACAGTGAGCGAAATCCCAGCACGTAAGACACAGGGCGTGGCCGCTCTCCGAACCAGCCCCCTCGTCTGTGTGGCTCCTTGCATTCTCCACAGCTTTAGCTTATAAACGGTCTTATTTTTCTCTATTGTATCTGTTTCCTCTTATCCTAGGCCCTTCTCTTTGCTATGTATACATATGCAGGGATTAGTTGTGGCCATCGTAAGGGTTTCCTAAATCTCAGATATCATGCTTAGTATCAAAATGTCACAAAACGCTTGTTTCTATTTCACTCCTGGTTTTCTAACTCCCACCTCCTCCTCTGTACAACCTGACTTCAAACTCAGCGACTAAGTGGAAATAGTTCTCCATACAGACATGACTGCCCTGCGTGGGATTAATGCAATGGGTTAACTTTATCATGACCACCCCTCTTGGAAGCTTTCCTGACTTGATTTTGGAGCCGGTACACTCCATATACAGGCTTTCGTCTACATCTGTGTTTCTGTAGGTGTCTTTTGTGGCCTTTCCCTTTTGTTAGGCCATTTTGTCTTAGGGGTCCTTGGGATTCAACCCTGGGCCCTTACGCTGTATCTTTCCTTAATTGCATGATAACTCTTCAATCCCCAGGTTACACATTGGTATCTTCAGCTCAGACTTCTACTTACAGATCGATATGTCATACTGTCTGCTCGGCCTCTCCACTTCCAAGTCTTAAAAGAATTGCAAACACAGCATGTGCACCTCTCCTAAGCACACCCTGACCTGGGCCTCTTCCAGTCCTTTCTATACGAGTGAGTCACGTCACAGTCATTCCCAGAAGGCAGCTGTGGACGCTGTAAGTTCAAAGGCCATTACCGACACTCCTGTCTTCCTGAACCCTGGAGAGCTAAGACAGAAACACGTCTTGTTTATCTCTTACACAGTTGCTTGTATCTGCTCACATGATCCCTGCCTACCAGGCTGTCTCCAGCAGTCTGTTAATTACCTCTGATTTTAAACTGCTCCTTACGACAGAAGTGTTTCGCAGAACTTGAACATGATGGCCGTTGTCTTACAGCTTTCAACAGCATCTCATTACCTTCACGACCAAACCCTTGCCTTTGTCGACCAGGTCGTACGGGACTTGAGTCCCAGCTCATCTATTTCATCTCCTCTCATGACTTCTACCCCTCACTTTCTGCCCATCCGTCACACTGTGATCATTTTACTTCCTGTAACTCTTTCCTGTAACACTTTCATATTCCCTCTTACAAGCTTATTCTTTCCAGAATATTCTCCTTTTCTTCTATATAGCTACCCTCAAACTATGCTTCCTTATTTCCTGCTGACTGTTCAGGCCCAGCTTAAACCTTCTTTATACGAATGCTAGCACTACAGTAAACACAACTCTATTACTTTGTGATTGTCTTATTGATGAGGAACTCTGTTTTGAGCTACATTTGCTAACCCCCTCATGTACCGTGTCTAGCACAGAGCAGGTAAATATTTAACTAGGTAAATAACTTAAGAATGGAGAGGACTGAAAAATATCCTTGGAGGATGAAAGTGATTCAGGAAAGAGCAGTGATCCAAAAACCAAGAAAGAACCTGATCTCCCCAAGGAAAAGTAGGTCAGAGGGCTTGGAACACTGGAGATTGTAGGTGGCTGCAGTGCAAAGAGCTTTCCAGTGATGAGGGAGACTCCAGCCACTGTGCGCTAAGACACACACACAAAGAGTGAAGGGAAAGTGGGGAAGAAAAGTGTTCTTTAAAGATGGCTTTCAAAAGCTTCCTCATAGTAGATTTACCTTTTAATATCTCTATGAATGTGATGATTTTCATGTAAAAACCTGATGCCATTGGCTGCACCCTGAGCAATCTTGCATCTCATGTGCCAAGAAAGCGGTGGAGTACCATCCTTTTGAAGAAACAAACTGATTTTAAACAACGTTTAGGTGGAAAAAAAAAAAACCCATAGAAAAGACATAACAGTATTTTTTTTTTTTTTGTGGTCAACTGATGAAAGGGATTTATCACTAAGAATGTAGGATTACAATTTTTAAAGTTTGCAAAAATTAAATCTCAAGTAAGATTAAAGTTCTGCATTCCTTATTTGAAGACAACAATACAGGAGAACATCTTCAGCATCTAGCCTTGACTGACGCTTTCCCATCTTAAATTTGCAATAGCTGCCAACACATCAACCACATTATTTTGCAGAACAAGAAAATATTAAACTTAATGTGGTTTAAGTGATCCCGACCAAACGTGATAATTCACAATCCAACATAGAAGCAGACGATGAGACGGTCTGCTGTCTTACCAGGCAGGACAGTCTGTCTAGCAAGGAGCCGTTGGGCATGTAGGCATACACCAAGCACAGATCAGTGCTGTCGCTGGAGAAGCCAAGGAGCTCCACGAGGTTCTCATGCTGACACCTGTGGCGAGACAGGCCCCGTGCAAAACTGTTATGACAAACATTTCTAGGAGTTTTAGCAGAAGGATCAAGGAGATATCTGCCTGTATCTAAATATCTACATACATACATGTCCTATGCAATATGACGTGCTCAGACCCTGCTAACACGCTCACTGAAATTGTTGATTCTTTTCTGCAAACGGTTCCTGTTTCAGCGATGCCGCTCTGCAACAGAAGCAAACCTCTCCCGGCTTCGCCAGTCCCAGCCTGATCAGATCAGCGGAACCTGAGACAGGTTAGTTCAGGACGAGAGGCTGCCTGATGCCCATCTTTGTTGGGAGCATTTTCAAGATCTGGAAACTTGTAACATGGATGAATCCTCTAAAGTAACAAAACTCCATCGGGCAACACTGCTTTGTAGGAACCATATTCAGTCACGTTTAACTTTTATTATTTATGATCTTTAACCACATGCTTGTCTACAATCTTAGTTTTTGCACACCTGAGAGAAATGAGTACAAAAGCCAAGGCATAACAGAGGTGCTGGCCTCAGCCAAAAATGCAGTGCTGCCACCTGCTGGACATGCGGCACATAGCATGTTGATTAACTCACCTTCAGGCTTCCCTGCATACAGAGCATGGTACTAACGTGTAACAATATCGTACAACATACATGTTGTGAGAATTAATAACTGTGAGGGCTCCGATGCACACATGGCACATGAGAGATGCTCCATTACTTTTTGCTCATTCCAAGCCATCTACAATTCTGTATACTTTTGTACAAAATCAGACTTCTATTGTGAGAAATACCCTGAGGAGTGTAAGTTAAATGAATAAATTTTCCATTTTCACCAAGTTTGCATATTTTAAATACGAGTCATTTTTAATATTTGTTGAGTTTCTATTATCCATAAGGTGGGTGGTGGCTCACCTGCTCTGTCTCATGAACCTTCACAGTTTGTTGGCATTTCACTGCATAATGGGCAGAGGCCCAAGAAACCTGGACTAGGTCATTCTACATCAATCTATTCCCAACACTTTTGCATATAACATTTCCTTAGTTTTCTCTAAGTTTTAACTTCTCCGAAGGCTGTTACTTCATAGTTTTCTTTTCCTTTCTTCCTTTCTCCCTTTCCTTGTTTCTTTGTTTCTTTCTTTCTTTGACACAGTCTTTGTATAGCTCAGGCTGTCTTGGAACTTGCGATATAGTACAGGTTGCCCTTGAACTCACCACCCTCCTACCTCAACCTCCCAGTATTACAGGAGTGTACCATCATTCTTTCAAGAATTCTGGGAATAGAAAACCTGATAATAAAAATTACTTCAAATCCTATGTAACTTTGTTGTGATTTAAAACAACTGACTGCTTTCAATCTGCAGGCTTATGTGATCGTATAATTATGTGATCGTAATTAGCACTATTGGAGAACCAATAGTGCTAGTCTCAACCCTGTATCTTTGCACACTTGAATCTGAACTTTATCGAGAAACCAGGTCCTTTGCCTTATACCATGCTCTTGCTCCCGCCACACTGGAAAATCAATACTTACTTTGCCATTACTTTAATTTCTTGATCAAACTGTTGTTTTAATTCTTCAGTGCTGATTTCGACCATCTATGAAAATAAAAATATATACTGTAACACGATACAATCACCTCATGGCTCCTACAGCTGGAAGGGGGCTTGAGAAAAAGTCTCCTGCTGATTTGGTTACTTTAAAATCACATGGTAAACCAGGTCTGGTGGTGTAGGACTGTGGCTCCAGAACCTGGGAGGCTGAGGCCAGAGAACTTCAAGTTCAAGGCTTGCCTGGCTTAGAGTGAGAGTTGTAAGGTGGCCTGTGCAACTCGGTCTCTGCTCCAATGGGACATTAAAAGAGGGCCGGGATGCAGCTCAGTGGTAACGCGCCGGCCTAATATATGCAAGGCCCTGGGTTCAATAACAGCACAGCAATATGCATAATGTCTTAGCCAGGCATGGTGTCACATGCACGCCTGTAATCCCAGCACTTGGGGAGGCAGAGGCAGGCAGATCTCTGTGAGTTCGAGGCCAGCCTGGTCTAACAAGCAAGTCCAGGACAGCCATGGCTGCACAGAGAAACCCTGTCTCGAGAAACCAAAAACCAAAACCTAATGATCATCATCATCATAATAATTATGATGATGATAATAATAATTATGATGATAGTCTTGCCACAGTCTGCATGGCTGGTTTCTGGCAATCTGCCAGGATGTTGCAGGAGATTAAGGTGGACAGACAGACATAAGTAACATAAAGCTGGGATCAGGTGGTCCATGTGATAAGATGGAGCCGTACCAGCAACCCAGATACTCAGTGTTTTTTATGCATAGCAAGACCTAGGATGCAGGTGAGCTGATCTCAGCAGGGGTCTCTGTAGGGGAGGAGCCTCAGACTGCACTCACCTGGGATGAGGAAACAGAGGCTGGGACCTTTTACATGTACTGGTTTCAGCTAAAGGGTTTGTCAACACCCATACCCTGACTAGAGGAAGGCCTTGCCCTTCACATGAGCCTGAGATGCATGGCCATTCTTATGTCAAGGATACTCATTCATACAGTGGTAAACTTGCTCCCCACAAGGCCCTATTCTCTTATTGACATCTAGAAATACAAGTGATTTGCCCAAGGTCCCCCCCCCCTTTTTTTTTCATTGAAAGGAAAAAAAAATTATAAACCATTTTGGGCTATAGTAGAAACCAAGAGAGAAACAAACTTTCATCACAGAGAAAATTTAAAATTTTCTGTGTAACAAAATGAAAGCAAATGTGAAGAGAAAAGAGAATCAAATCCTATGAAAGAACCTGCAACATAAATCCAACATAAATCCATATGTGACATACACAATATTTTTAAGATATAACAACATCTTGATAACATAATTAATCAATAAATAAAGGTAAAATCCATTATAGAAAGGGAACAAAGGACAGGCAAGGAAACTCCTTTTTCATAGGGTGCATTTTAAAAAATACTATTTTTGCCGGCTACGGTGGCACACACCTTTTAATCCCAGCACTCAGGAGGCAGAGGCAGGCGGATGTCTGTGAGTTTGAGGCCAGCCTGGTCTACAGAGTGAGTTCCAGGACAGCCAGAGCTACACAGAGAAAATCTGTCTCAGAAATATCTACATACTATTTTTAAATTACATTTATTTAGTGTGTATGTGCGAGTGTGGATGAACACTGCTGAACACGTGGAGGCCAGAGGACAGTTTGTAGGAGTCAATTCTATTCTTCTATCTGGTGGGTCCTGGGGATCAAATTCAGATTATCAGGCTTCGTGGCAAGCGCTGTTACCTACTGAGACATCTCGCTGGCATCTAAATTGCATTTTCACATGGGACAGGGTCATACCGAAGTATTCAGATAACGTTTTCTTATTTCTCATCTTTAATCTAGGTTATGTACAAGGCACTGTGGTACAAGGCCTCTTTAGAGTTCATCTTGTGAATCTGTCACAGTCACAAACGTGGTTCTATGTCTGTGCCCGTAAACACTTTTCTAGGGATAGGCTGGACAGATTATTCTTACGTGGTAAGAGGTACGGGCTTAGGATGGGTCCACTTAAGGAGACTAAGTGCTGAGATAACAGAGCCCGGGAAGGTAACTGGTGGCTCGTTCTGATGGGAGGAAGGAAGGTAACTTACTGCTCCGAGCTTCTTCACTGCCACAGGTGTGTTGTCCACACAGCCCTTGTACACCACTCCGAATCCCCCCTCCCCCATTCTGTTGCCACCGACAGACACGGGTCGCTCATCAAAGTTATTTGTGATACTCTTCAGCTCATAAAATGAGAAACTGTGAAAACCTGTAGCATGAACAGAACAGGAAAAAGGTGTGTTAGAAAAGGAATTGTGACATTTTCTCAATTTGGAGATGACACACAAACACACACACACACACACACACACACACTCACATACACTCACATAAACTACAGACTACATAACCTTTATTATGACAATTGCACTTGGTTATTTTGTATCGAACACTCAATTGCCACCCAAAATACTTACTTGATAAAGTCCAGTCTACTCCCCCAAAAACTTTGGTCACATTCAAAAATTATTTTATTTATATATTTAGTTTTGAGGTAGGGTGTCATTCAGACCTGGCTGGCCTCGAACTCCTGCCCCTCCTGACCCTGCCTTGCACATGCTGGGAGCACAGGCGTGCATCACCACACTGACTTGTTTTCTTAGTTATTATGTATGTCCCACAGTCACGGAAAAACAGTAGCAGACGCAATGAAGATGGTACTTACTAAAGCAAAATGAACAACAAAGGGTGCTGCCAATGTGCCTCTGCCCCGTACACACAGAGAGGCTTACTTTCAGTCCCGTAATGGCAAATCCACCAGCCAGAAGGAATAGGCAACAGTACGTACGAGTATCGCTGAATTCTGAGCTTTTACTGTCTGGACGTGAGGAGTCGGGTGGCACACAGCTTTGCTCTTGCTTTGGCATCACAGATGTCCTGTCCTTCCCACAGCAAGGCCCATGTGTCTGTGCCACTGTTACCGCTTCTCCGGAAGGTATATTGGTGATAGTCTGGGGAACAGCATCTGCCAAACAAGAAGATGTAATTAGTTTCGGTGTAAGAAAAAAAGTCTTTGTGAAAAACAAAAACAAAAACCAGTGTGGTGGTTTGAATGAAAATGGCCTCCATGGGCTCACAGGGAGTGCGGCACTGTTAGGAAGTGTGTCACTGGGGGCGGGCTTTGAGGTCTCAGATGCTCAAGCCAGCCCAGTCTGTCTGTCTGTCTCTCTTTTCCTGCTGCCTGCTCATCCCGATGTAGACTTCTCAGCTCCTTCTCCAGCACTCTGTCTGCCTGAGTTATCACCCTATGTTCTTCATCCCTTTAAGTAAACTACATGACTACGATGGGGTTAAAATGATCCCTAAGCAGCCACCAATTTAGTAGCGTGCTCCAGAACATCCGGCATCTAGAACGGCTAAAAGCCAGGAACGGCTGAAAGAACCAAAGGGACTCAAACGTCGGGTTTGCTCGTTACATGGAAGAGTGAAAAGAAACACTTCTACTTTTGCCATTCCATTCGTCACCCAAAGCCAGCCGCCGGCACTCTGGTCACACCCAGTTTACCTGGCAGCAGGAGCGTAGCAGGGGCAAAAAGCTCGGTCTGGACCAGAAGATCCACAAGGTCACCGACTGTGCAGTTTGTGGTGCCCCAGTCAAACAGCAGCTCACAAGTGGGGCTTTTCCCGGTGTGAAGCAAGGCTTCGAATCTCCTGAAAGGCAAGAAATGAAACTAGTGCACAAGGAGAGCTCATAGGAAAATAGACACCGATCTCTGCATCCCTCCCACATCTCCTTCAGACTGTATCATGGGACCTCCCAAAGACAGTAAAGGAGAGGGACCTCGAGAGAACCAGTAAGGACCCCAACAAGGAGGAGAGACAGCAGAAAAGGAGCTAAAGGTGATGGTGATGGTGGTGATGATGATGACCATGATGCCAGTTAACCAATAATTGCAGCTGGAAAGATGCTCAGTGGTTAAGATACTGGCTGCCCTTACAGAGGACCAGCATCCTAGCTCACAACCATCTTGTGTTTTCAGTTCCAGGGGCTCTGATACCATCTTCTGACCTCCACAGAAATGAAACACGCTGTGCACATACATTCACACAGGCAAAGCATGCATACCCACAGAGTAAAAAATAACTCTTGGAAAGAGCAAGTTAACCTTTGGGCCTGGGAGATAAGCTCCATTGGTAACGTGCTTGCGGTACCAGTGTGAAGACTGAGGACCCAAGTTCATATTTCCCATGATCCATTAAAAAAAAAAAAAGCCAGTGCAGGGCATGTTGGCGGTCGCTCTGATGTGTGTTACTGACCCTTAAGATCTGGTTACACCTACCTTTGTTTTGTAAACCTGCCTAAGACATATCTGATTGGTTGATTAAACAGCCTATACCTGGGCAGGGCAGAATGGGGTAGGCTTGGCTAAGGTTTCCAGCTTTGGAGGACAGAGAGGATCATGGGAGATGAGGGACAGGAAGAGGGGAAGAAGGGAAGAGGGAGGATACAAGAATGGGTTAGCCTTGAGAAGAAGGTATGTGGGGTGGGGAGGAAGGGCTCCACCAATGACTTGAAAAGACCCAGATAGGGAATAAAAGCAAGTATTTATAAGATTATGGATGGAAGACAGGATGGTTAAGGAGGATGGAATTGGATGGGGGCTGGGAGATGGATGGTGTGGTGATTCAGACAGCGTAGGTAGGAATATCTGTCCGGCCCAAGGTAAACAAGGCAGCTATAAATCCAACAGGTGTCCGTGTCTTTTTATTTGTGATAGCAGGTTACATAATACTGCCATGATAATCATAGGGCTAATAATAATAATAAATATAGAGCCCAATTTTATTTTTAATTTGCTACATCCAGGGCACCTGTGTTTCGAGTCTGGAGCTATTATGTTAATTGTTTGCTCCCCAAGTTCTTTGAGAAAATGCTCATGGGCACCAAGTGATGCTGTGTAACCCCGCTTCCAAATTATCCCTGATTGGCCAGTAAAAAGGTGTACACCCAGGCTAGGCATGAGGGAGGCATGCAGAGCTAAGGTTGGTGGGCTTGGAGGACAGAAGGATCACTGGAGAGAGGTGGAGAGGGGCAAGAGGAGAGGAGTCGCCACGGGTGAAGCACGAACTAGCAGGACAGAACTAGCAGCACATGTCCGGGTGGAGCTTGCTCTGAAGATGAGAGATTGGAGAGACGCAACCGCAGGTGGAAAACATGTGCAAGTATCTGGGGGATTTTGGCGGGATTAGACAAGATAACTTAGGGGGCTAGTTTCTGCCAAGTTCCAGTGGTTAAGGTATATCAAAAATATAACAGGTGTCTGTGTATTTCTATGTATATAAAAGCGGATCAAATAATAACCGCCGTGATAATTTTATGTATTAATAGTAAACACTAGTAACATTTCTACAAAAAATTGGCCCCCAGCGTGGACGATTAAGACCCAAGCTTAAAGCCCAAGAATTCCCGGGTCAAAAGCAGTCTTCTAGGCGTCTCTCTAAGAGAGACTCTTGGGCATGCCGGCAGGCAACAGAGAGCCTGTTGCGGGCAGGCGGGGACCCCAAACAGACTGAGGGAAGCCAGGACTGGCAAGAGCGCAGCGCTGCTGTCTCTAGCTGGTTCACGTACACTGCGGAGGGCGGGGCTAATAAATGTCCAGTGAACACAGAGCCGGCAGGTACACATAATCCCTGCTGGGCTCATACTACGACTTTTGGGAAAACTCTCCAGAGAAGGCAGCCTACTCTGGGCCTGCATGCGGGATGGAGTGCGGGGGAACTCAGACTGGCACAAAATGATTGACTGATGCTCTGAGCCGCCTCCCAGCATCTGCAGGTGTGGCGCTTCCACGGGAACTGATAGGCACTCTACCTAGTGCGAAATAAATAATAATAATAAATAATAAACAATATTGGGCTGGAGAAGCAGTGACAGGCGTATCACTGAAGCCCTCTGGTTAGTTAGTCTAGATCAGCTGTTCTCCACCTGTGGGTTGCGGCATCAGATATCCTGCCTGTCAGATATTTCATGGTTCATAGCAGTAGCAAAATTACAGCTAGGAAATAGCAATGAAATAATTTTACGGTTGGGGGTCGCCGCAGCAGGAAGAACTGTGTTAAAGGGTCGGAGCGTTAGGAAGAACCACTGGGCTGGGTGAAGCGGTAGGCGCCAGGCTCCGTGAGATACCCCGTCTCAAAGAGTAAGGTGGAGAGGGATGAGGAAGGAGGAAGGCACCCGTTGTTGACCTCTGGCCTCCACAGCATGCACACCTAACACACACACACACACACACACACACACACACACACACACACACACA